AAAGACATGCGATCTTGTGTAACTGTGAGGTAGGTCTGATTTACTTCTCTAACAGTCAATTCTCCCTGAAGTGCTAAGCCATTAAAAGCCAACAATCTCCACTTCTCTGTTAAGGCAATCTGAACAACTCCATGTACATTTCTAAGAACCGTGATACGCGTTATCACACTCAAGATCCACTCACATTTAACGTGTACATAGGCACAGCTAATTTTGCTAATTTACTCAATTAGGTTAAAACAAGGGCTTTTCAACTATGCTATGAGGTACTATTTCATTTACAGTAGTCTCCGACAACTAATGAGGGACTTATCAAAAAACAAAGGGGCTGGAACTGTAGCACAGAGGGTAAGGCTGCTGCCCACGGCACTGGCATCATATGGGCATGGTTTCAAGTCCTGGCTGTTCCACTTCCAATCCAGATCCCTACTTAAATGGCCTGAGAAAACAATGGAAGATGACCCAAGTTCTTAGGGCCCTGAAGCTGCATGAGACCCAAAAGCAGCAGCTCCTGGTTCTGGATCAGTCTTGCTCCTACCGCTGTGGCCATCTGGGAAATGAACCAGCACGTGCAAGATCCCTCTCTACTTGCCTGCCTCTCTCTGCAACAAGGAAGGGAAGGAGGGAGAGAGGGAGGGAGGGAGGGAGAGAGGGAGGGAGGGAAGGGAAGGGAAGGGAAGGGAAGGAAGGAAGGAAGGAAGGAAGGAAGGAAGGAAGGAAAGTTAAAAGCAGAGTCTGAAAGCAAACACAGAAAATGTTTCCCAGATCCTGAAGGCTGGTGACATGGGGAACAAAACCAGAACTTAGGCCTTTGTGTACTACATTCCATTGGCAGCCACTTTCCACAAACCTGTGACACCACACACCACGCTTAATACCATGCAGGAAGCGATGCTGGCACCACAAATAGGGCAGAGATGGCGAGGGAAGCCAACAGTGAGGGAGAACAGGGGAGGCATCAATGAGAAAGACATGCTTCAGCTGACGGATGAAGGGCAAGGCACCAAACAAGTCTTCCATGCAGCGGAAGCAGTAAGAGATCACGTGTCCTCTTTCCCCCGTGGGGGATCCGAGAGAAGGGCCGTGACTGCGGAGCAGTCAATCAGAACAAGCATGGCATGGCTTTATTTCCTGGGTGCTTAATATATGCTGGATACCATGCTAAGCACTTTAAATGTATGCTCTTCATTAATCACTTTCAGAAACCCACAAAATACCTCAACATTTTCAAAATGAAATAAACACGTGTAGGAGAGAGATTAAGGATTTTTTTTCTAAAATTAGAGTGAGATAAGGTATGTGGGTACAACTCAAAAGCCCACATTTCTTTAACCCTACCCCAATATTAGAGACCTAAGCAGTGGCCAAAACCCATGGGGCTTCACACTGAAGTCAAGAGACTAAGTTTTAAAAGAAGTGGAGGGCCTGGCGCAGTAGCCTAGTAGCTAAAGTCCTCGCTTTGCACATGCTGGGATCTCATACAGGTGCCGGTTGTGTCCTGGCTGCTCCACTTCCTTTCTAGCTCCTTGCCTGTGGCCTTGGAAAGCAGTCAAGGATAGCCCAAAGCTTTGGGACCCTGCACCCAGAAGAAGCTCCTGGCTTTAAATCGGCTCAGCTCCGGCCGTTGCGGCCACTTGGGGGGCGAATCATCAGACAGATCTTTCTCTCTGTATATCTGACCTTTCAATAAAAGTAAAATAAATCTTAACAACAACAACAATAACAAAGAGTGGAAAGTCACTGAAAGGCTGCAGGAAAACAGGGACATGCTGATTTACACTTCAGTCTCACTATCACGTGGGAAGGAGTTGAGTACAAGTCAGGAGAGAAAGCAGGGTGGCGGCCCGCACTGGGAGCGGCAGACTCAGGACACCTATGGCAGCAGAGTGACTGAAGTGGCTGATGGTTTGGATGCGGGGAATACAAGAAAAAGTCTAGGATAACTCAGAAGCTGGCTTTTCCAGCAGGCAGATCATAATGGTTAATAATGAAATGGCTCAGAAATAAACTAAGTTCAGAAGGGAGGGGTAGACTCATTAAAAAATTTTAATAAAGGATGGAAGGGTGTTTGGCCTATCAGTTCAAACGTGATTGAGGCCACCTGCAACCCCAACCCATGTTGGTGTGCACGGGTTCAAGGCCTGGCTTTTCTACTTCCCATTCCAGCTTCCTGCTAGCCTGCATCCATGTGGCAGACCTGAGTCCCTGGCTCCTGGCTCCTGGGTCCGGCCTTGGCCAGCCTTGGGAGCATATGGGGAGTGAACTAACTGAAAGCAAATCAAATCAATATCTTTGTTTGTAAATAAAATTTTAGTAAAAATTCACTAAATCTTTAGTTTCTACCACATGGGGAGTAGACAAAATAGCAGTAAGCCATGAAATAGTGGCAAGTGCTACGGAAGGCAATGAAGTAGGTTAAACAGGACAGCGGGTACCGTGGGTCAGCGCTCGTTGTATGAGGGCTGAGGAGGCCGAGGATGGCACAGTACGTCATAAGGTAGAAAATGGTGAGATGAGGACAGAGAACACTGGCTTTTAGTCATTATTTTTTTTAGCAAAACAGGAAACGGAAGTTGAGATCAACTGTTGCGGGGTGCGAGCAAGATCACACCACACATGTCTAAGGTTTATTAAGGAGTCTTTATTAACCAATCTTGGTGATAACAGAACATACTAGAAATAGCAAATCACAAGTCCATATGGCAATCCAAACCAATCATAATCCAACCAAGCATAATTGAAAGGGGAACAAATGGTCATTATCCCTAAGTCCACCCATTAAACTGAAGACCTATGGCCCAGCTTCCCCAACAATATAAGTTATCCCAAGAGACATGCAACGAATAACCTGGACACATTTACAAAGCTGCAGACATTCACCTTTCCCTGCCTTCTCTGCCCACATTCCACTACTGCCAGGCCTCACCTCTCCTGGAACTCCTGATAGTACACAAACCAGAAACAACATTACTATATCCATTGTCCAATCGAAGCAGGACACAGGGACCATGCTCAGGGGATTACCTGTCCTGGTTCAGCCAAGAGTTCAGCTGCCAGAGTAATGGAAGCACCTGACCAGAGAGAGCCCCCCTGCTTCCCTGGCCTTTTAAAGGGGAGTGAGGGGAGTGGTTACACAACAATGCAATATCGCCCCCTCCCCTCTTAGTTGGTCCCCTCCCCTCTAAATTGATAAGGTATTTGCTTTTGCCCACCTGTGACTCACCTAAGTGTTGTGGGTTAAGGAGTTGATTAGTGCTCTTGGGATTGGCAGGAACCGGGCTTGTAGCTAAAAACACCTAGACTAATTAGACTTATCTGCATCCAATATCCTGGACTTAGGGGGAGTGGTTGAGGATGAGATTAACATTCCATTGCTGTTAGGCCCCACGTTCAGGACAGAGGGTAGGGGACACAGCCAAATTTCATTTGCCCACTGTCAATGGGTGCTGGCTATCACTGGCTGCACCCCATAATACAACACTGCTTACTGTAACATGGAAAAAGAGCTGCGTGGAAGCAGACACAAGAGGCGATTACCCTCTTCTGGATCCCACCAAAGGACGCTCCACAATCTGCCAGAGGACAGAGTTTTGGCTTGGCCAGACTGAGCAGAGCTGGGATGCAGAGCAGAGTCGGCAGGATTCTAGGTCTGTGAGATCAGCCATGGTAGGGGAGTCAGAGCGAGGCCTGGAAAGGATCGTGGCCTATGTCAGAGGAAGTGTGAGACTGCCATTTCCTGGGCTGGGATGAATTTGTGAGGAAGAAATCATGGAAAACTGGCAGAGTAGGCCATACTGAGACTACCGATGACAAACCCAGGCAGCTGTTTCCTGGAGACTAGGGATACACAGCTTGGAAGGAGACACAAGCGCCATCTTTAGCACACGGACATAGCAATGGAGCTAGCAGAAATATAAACACGTAAAGCTTGAGAGCCCTCATTTGGATACACCTGGTACTTTTGTAATAACTGGCTTAATGGTCACATCCATCACACGTTTAAGCCATTTAGACAGATTCTGTCACACAAACTTCCTCAAGGGAAAGAACTCCATGATAACAGGAACACTAGAAACTTAAAACGCTCCCACAGGGAGGCGTGATCCACTCTAGCTTTTCAGTGCGTGCACATTCGGGTTCAGGCTGTCTCGAATTCAGTTCTGGCTCCTACACTTATCAGCATGTCCGGAGGGAAGGAGGCACTCTTACTATTCGATTTCCCCAGGAGCAAGCTGGGAGGAAGGACTTGCTGGATTGTTGGAGATGAACGAACACTTGAACTTCAGCACTCTTGCAGTGAGCTACCTCACTATCACTGGCACCAAACGACTGAAACAGAAGTTTGGAATTGGAGATCCTGCAGTTACAACGGCTTTTCACATTTCTAGATCAAAGATTTACCTGTTCGGATTTCAAACGAAGCCAAATCACATTCCTAAAGGCAACTTTACCAACTAAAGACTTCCAACTCCCAGGGTGAACTACAAAGCCAAAATACATCCTTAAATTCTCAGCATCCCAAGGAATCCTTGGAGACAGAGATGAAAAAAAGCAAGTAGCTAGTTAGTCCTAGCGTACCCAATAACAAGGGCCACCTGTAACACAAACGCTCAGGCCTAAACCCCCTCATCAGTTAACGCGTTCCTCTCGGGTCTCCCCTCCAGAAAATCATTACTTGCGTGTTTGCGAAGAGACAGGCTAAAAACAAGCTTCTGAGTTGAATACAACAAACGGGGACCCAACTCCACGACAGTCACAGACGACTTCTCCAGAGTCGCCATCTATTTTTCCTCCCTCTGGCACCTCAGAGCGGCGTGGGACCAGCTACTCTCAGGTAACTGCTCTGGCCCCGATCCTAATCCCTCCCCGGGCAGCGAGGCGCTCAGGCAAAGCCATTATTACCCTCCCTCTCGCCGGGCTTCGGGAGCCCAGGCTCCAGCCTTTGGTAGCTCGGCAGGAGGAGACACCGAGAAACAATAGGACCGTGGCGGCCGCCGTACCTTTCCCGGTCGCGGCCGTCGAAGTAGACGAAATCGCCGCTTTGGATGCATTTGGCGCAGGTCAGCCGTCGGCGGGTGGTGTTGCACAGCGGACACCGCTCGACCGCCACGTACAGCCCCTCCGCGTCGTCCACGGAGTCCACCAGGTCCCCGGCGAGCGACCGGGGCCCGCAGGTCGGAGCCTCCGGCCCCCGGGCTCCCTTCCCACTGGGAGACGCCATGATGGTCTGAGAGCGGAGCCAGTCACGTGGGATTTTGTTTTCAACCGGGTGCATCCTGGGCGTGGGGGCGGGACGGGGGCGGGGCCGGGGCGGGGCGTGCGGGGAACCTGGCGGCGTGGTGCTCGGCGCAGGCGCTCTGGCAGGGAGTGTGCTCCCACCCGGGCACGCTGGGGCTCTGTCAGCCCTAGGCTGTGCGTTGGCGCCTCGGGCTCCAACAGCAGCAACAACAAACGGTGAGGCGACGCCCTAAAGATCTCAGAATGAGACCACGTGAAAGGGATCAGTTCGATTCCCTGAGATGTTTTTGGCTAAAATTGCAACCATCAGCCCGGGTCTGGGAGTCTGGGGACTTGGGACAGATTCTTAACTTCTTTGGGTCCCTTTTCTCATGTTCAGTGGATGCAGTTATGGTACATGCCTACCACCATCAGGGTTAAGAAATATATTTAATAATAGTCTAAAAATACTTGGGGGCGATAGCTTACTGGCTAAACCCTCGTCTTGCAACCGCTGGGATCCAGGCGCTGGATCACATCCCGGTTGCTCCGCTTCCCAACCAGCTCCCTGCCCGTGGCCTGGGAAAGCAGTCGAGGATGGCCCAAAGCCTTGGGACCCTGCACCCGCGTGGGAGACCTGGAAGAAGCTCCGGCGTTCGGATCAGCTCAGCTCTGGCCTTTGCAGCTACTTAGCTTGTGAACCAGCGGAGGGAATACCTTCACTTCTCTTTGTAAATCTACCTTTCCAATAAAATAAGTCAAATAGAAAAAAAATTGTATTGAAAATTCAAGTCCAGCTCTAGCTTTCTGAAGGCTGGCCCCTGCCCCTACTGCCTTTGGAATTCATTCCGTGTATCAAGCTTCTCTGGGGGCAGGGAGGAGGAACTCTGATTAGGGGCGGGAGGAGGGCATTACAACCACGGAAGGAAAGAACCAAAGTGGATTCCTACGTAAGTCACCTGATCCAGGGGTTGTATTGGCTAATGTAATGGGCTAATGATGGCCCAGAATTCTCTCTGCCCCTTGGAATTCATAGCACCTTCTGGGGATGAAGCCATAATCCCGTTTCCTGGTGGTGCTGGAAACAGAAGTCTGCCTTTCCACAAACCTCTTTCCTTACCTTGACGAAGGGTGTTACCACTGCCCACCTAGGCCCAGGAGCCCGGGGCGGCATCTGCATGCTCTCACCTGGTCTTTTATTGGAAAGTCAGATACAGAGAGGAGGAAAGACAGAAGTATCTTCCGTCCAATGATTCACTCCCCCAAATGATGGCAACAGCCGGTATTGCGCCGATCTGAAGCCAGGAGCCAGGAACCTCTTCCAGGTCTACCACGGGTGCAGGGGCCCAAGGCTTTGGGCTGTCCTCGAGTGCTTTCCCAGGCCACAGGCAGGGAGCTGGATGGGAAGCGGGGCCACTGGGATCTGAACCAGTGCCCATATGGGATCCTGGGCATGTGCAAGGTGAAGACTTTAGCCGCTAGGCTATGCCACCGGGCCCTCTCAGTCTTATCCAGTATGTTTTAACATAGTCACATAGGATTAGAAAAGCAAGGAAAAACCTCCTTTACTGCTTTCAAAATAGACCTTCTGCCATAACTGAATGGTGCCCCAAAGTTTAGGATTTATTTTTGACTGAGAGAAACCATATTCTTGAAAACTTCCCAACAAAGGACTTTCAGGCAGGCAACTTTCATTTGTGTCCCCACTGCACCCAGCACAGTGTCTGGCACCCAACAAGACCATTTGCTGAATATTTTAGAGGGCAAAACTTCAGACTCATTCATTCTTCTCCTGCTATGTATTAGTTTCTGAAGCTCCTTGAAATTTCTGCCTGTTGCTGTGCGTTCCGGAGGATACATGTTAGCGTATTACATACTGAGCATTGGATGTTAACCACAGCGCAGTATCATTCTTGCTAGGCCCTCATTTCTCAAATTCTGAATTGTTGCCTTGCTTACTTTTAAAAATAACATACAGGAGGCATTTGAAGTCATGTTTTCTTCATTTCTTAAGCATCGTCACTCACAAGGAATTACCCTTTAAGTCAAAATGTACTTGGAGCATCTACAATTACAGGTACAATTCCAGCTGGTCCTACACTGGACTCGTGCACACTTTCAAACCAGCTTCGCGAGAGGCCATGAACAATCGTCTCAGGCTTTCTTAAAGCCTTTGAGAATAGGATAGATGTTTTCAAATGCTTCATAAATTTCAGAACGTTCTTTGGCACCTGCAAAAAAAAAAAAAAAAACCAAGTTTACACAATCTTTAATGTAAAAATGCCAATCTGTTCATAATACTAAGATTTTTTTCTTGGGTCATTTTTGTTTTAATTATTTACTTGAGAGACACACAGCAAGAGAGACCTGCCCATGTTCTGGTTCCATCCCCACCAGATGCCCACAAAAAGGAGCAGTTTTGTGTGGTGGCAGGAACCCAGGCTCTTGCCCCATCTGCCATTGCCTCTCAGGATCTGGGTTAGCAGCAGGTTAGAGCACGAAGCGGAAGTGGGTTATCAAGCTCAGGTGCTCTGGTACGGGAAGTGGAAGTCTGAACCAGCACGGTATGGCCCAGGCCAGCTGCCTGCGCCTCCCCTGGGTTTCCATAGGAATGCCCCTCTAACTGTACTGAGAGATGAACTTTGCTTTGGGTATAGAATTTGGCACCCGCACCCTGGAGCAGAGGGGTCTCCGTGTGGGTGTGGCATCCAGCCACACAGTGCTCAGTGGGAACAGGGAATGTTTATCTGGAAGTGTGCCAGGGACAGGGTCCCAGAGTGACTTCCTCAGCGCTTGGGGAGCCCCTAGCAATGAGCCAGCAGCACTTCCTGTGCCCACTCATCTCTGGTGGCCAGCTTGAGGCCCCCACCCCTCATAGTGACTACAGATTGAGACCACATGGAGAAAACTTTTCTGGAATTTTCAATGTATAGATTATTAGGGGCAAAAACTGTATCACCATCATATTTTATAGATTTCAAGGGATCTTGAAATCTAATAAGCTGTAGAATTTAGAAGGCTCAAGGTGACTCAGACAAGTCTCCGCCCTGGGGAAACCTTATCAGTCTGTGCCCATTCCTGGCTTGTCATCAGCTGCCACCTCCAGGCCATGGGCTGGTCCCCTGATGACTGTGTGCAGCATCAACTATAGGACACTTACCTGCCACATTCGCCAGTGAGAAGCAGGAAAAAAGAGGTTAGTGAGATGAATATGAGAATTGCTAATCTGAAGAGAAATGAAAAGTAGCTTCCATTAACACAAGAGCTGTCAAGTTGGAGGGGAGGGAGGCATTAGGGAGAGAAGAAAATTGTCCCTGGCTCAATGATGGGACCGGGGAGAAGAACAGCAGGACCAGCAGGTTAGAGAAGAAGATGGAAATCAGGATTCGGGGTCAAACTTTTTCATACAGGAAAAAAACTGAGCAAGAATAAGGAGAAATCAGAACCCGTGTGTGTTGCTGGCGTAAAGTGGTTAGGCTGCTACGCATGACACCTCGTGACCCACCCATCCACTTCTGGGTAAACACTCCCCCAGGCTAAAAATCGGTGCTGAAATCACACCTGCCACTCACGATAACCAGAACGTGGCGGTGCGCTGCTGAGAGAGCAATGGAGAACGCGTGGTGTGTCCACACAAAGCACACTCTGAGCCGAGTGGCAGCACAGACACATGTTGCCACGTGGACAAACCTTGGAAACAGACCAAGGAGAGCATTTAAACGTAGAAACCCACCACTTAGCCTGTGATGCCGTGGGCAAGAAACATCCACAACAAGTCGGTCCACAGTGAGGGGACTGCAGGGAAACTGCTTACCAGCGCTGCGGCTTTATTTGGGAGCATGGACTGTTCTAGAACTAAATTGTGGAGGGTTCCCTACACACAGTGGTAGAAATGGGCCAAAATGCTGCTGAACTCTAAAATAGGTATACTTTTATCATAGGAATACCACCTCAAGTTAAAAAATATATAGTAATATATATTTAATATTTATAATTTATTAAATGATCATATTTAATAATATATAAATATGGTAACATTATGTATATTTAATATTTATAATTAAATATTTAATAATATAAATAAAATATCGTAACAAATTGAGTATGGAGTCCTCCACTCAAACACTCAAATAGCGGAGTGGGAGGGAGGCGAATCATACACCCCAGAAGTTTGGTGCTGTTTGGTGGGGAGAACTATGCAGAAACCCCGAGCGTTGGCACAGTTTCATTGCAGCCCCCAAATGCTAAGATTGTTGTACAGGGACCAAGCAGTAAGCTGGGGGAGGCGGTCACGGAAAGGCCATTGCGAAAGAACCTGCTATTGTGTTTACCAGCTTCCGTGGCTTCTAGACACATGTGTCTGGAGCAGCCTTTTAGTTGACAGTAAGACATGACAGGGCTAGCAAGCAAACAAGGCTAATTCAGAAAGCTGGTGGAAAATGGGACCAACAGTTGATTTGAGTGTGACACATGTTTGAAATGCATGCATTCATGTTAGTGGCCTGGGGAAAGCGGTGAAAGATGGCTCACGTCCTTGGGCCCCTGCCACCACGTGGGAGACCTGGAAGTGGCTGCTGGCTTTGTCCTAGCTGTCGCAGCCATCTGGGGAATGAGATCAGCTGATAGGTCTGTCTCTCTCCCTCTGACTTTGAAATATACAAATGAATTTTTTTTAAAAGGCCATACTCTATATAGGTCTGTGTGATGCAGTTTAAGGCAATGTGGTGTAAACAGATAACAGCACCCACATATAATGATTATTCCTCACTTCAGTGGTTTCCTTCGCAGCAGAGCCGAATCAGGCTCCTTGTCCACAGAAAGGGCAATCCACGACTTGTAAGAATGAAGAAATCGAGATTTGCCTATTCTGGGTGATTAATATCCATTTTCAGGAGGCATATTGAATAGCATTCCCAATTTTGCAGCAACAATATCCCCTTGCTGTGGTCATTTGAAACTTCTAGCAAACGTGGACCTGAAAGATTTTGTTTTGCTTTTAATCAGGGTAAGTAGAAATGC